CGGCTGAGACAATGCGACTCATATATGTACCAAGGGAGACCCAGTGACCGCCCTATCTGTGCATAGTGGACAAGGGACAGAAGACATCATTGGGATGGGTAAGCAGTGGGACTTATGCCCTTGGCTCTTGTCGAACATTTTTCACCTGATTATTAGAAGTCGGCGCAAAGGGCTTCGTCGTTCCTACGGATGATTCGAGGCATCTATCTCCACTACCGACATGGACTTTCAGCAACTCCGTCCGGCCTAAGTCAGGATTAATCAAGCTGTTCACTCGGAACGCAGATAAGAACTCGCCCAACTTGAGCGGACCCAACCAGCTGCCAACGGCCTCAAATCCGCAGATTATGGAAATAGACTCCGGGTGCTTGCAACACTTCCCCCTAGAGCTTCGTTGCCTCAAAAGGGACATGACCGTTGATTACACATTTTTGTGACAGTTGAAACCGACGGGATTTCACCGCGGAAGTAGCCACCTAAAGGAAAAAGTATTCCACTTGTTAAAATTATTATTTTATTAGGCGATAGTTTTTCTCCTTTCCCGGATATGACGCGTGAACGGTGGTTCACGCTGTATCTGCCACTTACATTGAGGCAGTTTTAGGCGCCTTTTTTGTGGGCCCTCCAGTTGGAAAGCCGACTGCTCCACAATGAAAAGTAAAGAGCAGTACTACAAACTTTCGGCCTGTGCCTTTCAAGCGAACGAAGGTCGCTGTTCTTTAAGATAAAAGACAACCATGTAAGCTTGATAGAAGCCCGTGTCTCGTGTATCGACCTGGAAATGCACGAAGTGACAAGTCTATTTGCGTTGTATGCCGGTGTGAACCAATGAAAGCAAGCGTAGTTTATGGGAGGAGTAGGTGGTTATGCATAGCTGAGTGGATAAAAGACAGTGTTTTTGGAGCAGCTTGCTGACATCGAACTTCAACGCTTTGAAAATGGGATATTGTTCCAGAGTGGATTTACTATGAAGCTAACAGGTTCTGTTTGTTTGCCTAGTCCTGAAGGACATTAACTGGCTCCGGGGTTTTCTGTTGTCAAAAAGGGGTGAATAACGAGTGGGTCGTAGAGAGAAAGATGATGCAGAGGTAAATCGGACGCCCTAGAAGCCCGCACCATTGGAGCTGGAACTGATTTGGACATCGAATTCGTTTAGGATAGTTTGACTAACGGTGGGCATGCACTGCATATCTTAGAAAATGCAAATGTTGCGTTTCATTCAACGCAGCCACACGGCCAATTAGAAAACCAACTGAGTGCCGAAGTAAATGAGGCAGCATCGTGTCTTGGGCGTTGCTCGGTTGGTTGGGGAAATTAGTGGAGGTTTATATACTAACTTGTTGGATGTATCCGCGAGTTCGCACGCCCGCGTGTCAGCTCACCTATATTAAGTGATGACGGAGCATGTGATCCTACATGCATACATCCCCATGATGGGTACCATGAAGCATTCAGAAAGCTTGCGCTCTCCAAAACTACCCTTTCCATACTACCACGAAAGTGTTTTTCCTGGACGGATGATTCGTGGGATCATCACCCTTATTACTTGTAAATGCTTCCAGCTGCTCTGCAGGGACCACATCAAGGAGCTTCATCATGTCCGTTTAGTTGTGTACTAGCAAATAATCAGGTGGCTGTTGGTCTGTTCGCTGAGATTGGCAACTGATTTACAAACGTTCCGTTAACATTTTTGGAGATATCTTTAGTGCGCTGTTGTGCATTTGAAACGCAAAATGACGTAACGAGTGGATATTGAAACGCGCCTTGAGGCCCTTGTCATGTTTTCTCCGGGGCAGCGTCGCTTCCTGAAAGACCTACCACTTATCTATGCCGCGATTCAACAATGTTTGGCTAACAATTTTCCACCATAAACGAAAATAGTAATAATAATGACCCTTACTTCCAACATGTGGGTGGCACACCGTCAGGCATGATCATACGTGTATCATCCGTTGTGTTGACAATGAAATTCCCCACGTTTATTCTGTCCCATTTTTAACACCCGCCCCACTTTTGGGTTTAGTGTGTATATATGAACTGACGCTTGTTTGTCCTTACCACTCCACCCATTTGTCCTTGAGGTCATCCGGGCATTTGTATTTGACTTTGCACGTGTGACTGTCGCACGTGGGAGCCTGTTTGCTCCTTTGATTTGTACTTTTGTAGTCCAAGCGGACTGTTTGTTTTGGACGCGTATCTACTGTCGAGGTTTGTGTAAATTGTGAATTTCTCTTACCCTAATAGTACCGTATAGAAACCCAGCTCCGACTTTGTTTTGCCTACCCGGAGGTTCTGGTATTACGCGTCACTCGAAGATACCGTTCAACCGGTACAATATGTTTACAGTCAGAATAGAGCGTGAGCGATGCGAGCTGTGGGACTAGGGAGTGCGCGAAAAAGAGAAAAGTTCAAAAACAATAATCAATATCTGATGAAAAATAATAATTTCACTTCCCAACTTGTATCGAGCATTCTAATTTAAGCATTATCAGGTCGTTACAGCATTCACGTTTTAGGCAACAAAATAACGGAAATGAAGGTACGACCAACGATGCATGCTTATTACATGAAAATCATAGCAGTTGCAGGACCATCGGAATAAGGTCCGACTAGTTCAAAGATGAAGCCTACTGAAATGAACTAAAAATGAGAACCATTGCTAGGTATGAATGACATCGGGGTTTGAGTAAGTGGCCGGAATCGTAGCAAGCAAAGACGGAGATGGAGGTGGAACAGTTCGAAGTAGAAGTAAATAACAAGTTTTGTCTCGAAAATACGGTTTAACCTGAAAATACGTAGAATCACTGGTGCAACTATTGTAAGGAAATTGGTGTCAGGGATAGGTTTGATGTGGGAGATAGTGCTAATGCACATGGCCGACGCCCACCGTACATGGAATTGAACTCGTAAAGGAGGCAAACCAAAATTTCAGCAGAAGAAAGGTTGGTCAAATCCGAACGGAAGTTCCAACGAGTTAAAATGAACTCGTCTAAGACGCGGTTCGAGTTAGGTGAAAAAACTGCTCGTAGCTTTAATTACAGGCTCAAGCAGGCAAGCGGTTGCGGTCGAGAATCTGAAGAAAGTAGTTGTGGGACAGCCACCACACTGTGTATGGCAGTACTAAACTGCTGGTGCTGAGGTCATCTAAGTTGACCCGCTTCAGAATGCATTCCGTCACCTCGCACAGGGTGCTAGGGAGGTCAATATGCCCTTAGTTGGCGGGCGAAAGGTGGTCACATGTTTTGTAGATTTGCGTGTTAACCACTTCCTTTCAATCTAGGGAAGTGTCGTCCTCGTCGAGTGACTGGTGAAACGCACTCGCCAATGTGTCCAACGTCTCACATAGAAACTGCTCCCAAGGTTGCTGAAGCTTCTTCGGCTTTTCCTTTTAGGTCCTTGAACGGACCTTATCCGGCCTAAAGGTGTCGAAGATGTTTGCCTTTTGCAAGAGGCGATGACCATTTCCTTCTTTTACACTCTTCAGCCAGACGACTGGGGCTTAAGCGTGCAGTTTTAGGGCTACATCCATCCGCGTTGTAGGCGATCGCAAACTGCCGAAACTCATGATGCAACCACATGCGTCCGTAACATGTGGACCGAAGTTCGTGATTGAAAATGATCAAAACTTCCCTCTAGGTTTGGTGAGCTGAATCTTTGTGCTCCCATGTGCAAGAAATTGAAGGCTCTCTTTGGCTCAGACACA